TTAATGAACTTTATCGAATTGTGGATAGTAATGTAGTTGTTCGTAACGACTGCCATTTGTAAGGACTATAAAGCATAAAACAGATTTGAGGTTCGATTACCTCAAACATTTTCATAGTGTTCGATACAACGGTTCAAATTTAAGCATTGAAATGTTCGATCACTTTAAAACACTGCTTTATAATCTTTTCAATAGTGAAATAATGAATAAAGCTATTGTAAACCCAGTTACCAAATAAACATCTTGATAAAGTTAATTTTCATATTCTTATTAAAACAATAAAAATATTTGCCAATATGTATGTCGATAAAGAATAATATATACACTACAAAAGCTTACTGATGTACCGAACATAGTATTATATTATAAACTTCTTGATAGAACATTTTTACTCTCTTTTTAACCAAATAACAACTTTTACTCGCCTTTATAGTTATTATACTTGTTTCCAGATTCAAGTATACATCTATTCAAAATCGATTCCTTTGCACGTTATTCACTTCTTATTCACTACGTTTACGCACGTAACAAAAACAACAATGCTTGTGCGCGACTTGTTAGGTAGTAGTATAAAAGCAAAGATAAAAGAGATATTTATGGCGTTTTCGATTGGTAAATTTGGATTGAATCTAGATTTACTCTCGATCTGTAAAATCTTGTTGCCCAATGGAACGTTTTTAGAGTAATCTTACATTTTTGTAGGCAATTATATTTTTCATAAATACATATATCGAATCATATTACACTTTATCTGTCACATCATATAAAACAGCTGTACATTTCAGAGTAATCTTGCTTCCCTGACAAAAACATCTAGAGTGTTATAAATTAATCTCGACTGTTTTGCTCGAGATTTTCCAATCGAAATTGAAATTTACACTAAAATTGAATATCGATTGAAAAAGTTACCAATCAATAACAGAATTAGAATATTCAATCAATTAAATTATTTTTGGATATCCCAACATGATTTCTTTATAATTAACTTCATCAGACCAAATGAACAGAAATGTTATTAATTAAAGTTCAATTGTCATAATATGGGGAATTATTAGAGATATCTTATATACACTTAGCGCTAAAAGTCTGCGTTCACTTCTTAATATTTAAATTAAAACAATTAAAATTTACAGAAATATTAAATAGAGTAGCCTGTGGGATAACCCTGCGTTTAATAACACCTTTTAGGCCTCTGCATGGACTCAACCAGTTTTGCAGTATCCTGTACGTTTATTATTGGTTATTCTTTCTTGATGACGTTTCTTAGCATATCCTACCTGAAAATCGTATGCTCTGGGATAACCTCTGCGTTTAATAACCCCTTTTAGGCCTCTGCATGGACTCAACCAGTTTTGCAGTATCCTGCGCGTTTATTATTAGTCATTCTTTCTTGAAGATCTTTCTTAACATATCCTAGCTGAAAATCGTCCGCTGGCGAATCTTATTTTCCAAATAAACTCACTGATGTTTTATGGGACTAAGGTCTGCTGATTCTAGTAGTGTTTGAAATTGCCTGGGAGCATGATTCAGCAGGTTGTGTATGTACCTTCCATTCTTCTTATTACCAAAACCTTTGTTATATTATATTTTAATATTTTTCGAATATTAAAGCTTAGAAAAAAACTAATACTTCTATGTTTACACTAAAAAGCAACATTATTGTTGTTTTTGTAATTCTTATTGCAGTTAGAAGTCAAGCAAGCAAAGCCAAGGCCAGTCATTGTTAAAATTTAATTTTTTTCAAAAATATAAGCATTAACACTGCACTGTTTATGCGATAAGCTTTCTTACGTTAAATAAGAACTTTCATACCAAAAACAAGACTTGCTGTAAGAAAAAAAAAGCACACTTCTAATTAGAATTTTCACAGTTAAACTGCAAAAACAATACTAACTGTAGGACTATAACTATCTTATTAGAATTTAAACAGTTAAAGTTTATAGAAAAACATTCTTTTGCAGAAATATTTGGAATCTTAATAATTTCATGTAAAGACCAATTAACTGCTGAGATAAAAATGTTTATCTTTATAGGTTAATTAAATACATATAATGTTGCATGATAAAAACAGCAACTTCTAGAAAAATCTTTACGGTACTATCAGCATATAATTAGCGTGTTATCAAAGTAAATGAAGTAAAAAAATAAAGCTTTGTCTTTAAGAAAACAACATTAAAATCAACAAAAAGCACTTAAATTATGAAAACATACGAGAGAACTTAAACCCGTAAAAAGAATAATAAAAATTAAAGATAATTTTTATGACTGAAACTCAATAACAAAAATAATTGTATAAAATAAAACGGATAAATGCATCGCTTCTGTGTAACGTTCAATGACTTAAATTTTACTTAAATTTAACAATTGGAACATATAAAACAATAAATTGAAATAAAATTTTGTGCGCATTCACACAAAGTTCACATATCCACACACATATATGCACTTAACATGTGTGTGTGCATTGTCTATTTATCGTAGACACAAAGTTACCGTAAAAAAGTTAAACAATATTGATTTTTCAATAATTCTAATCAGATTTTTATGTTTGTTCGATTTTTATTAACAAATAGAAAGCATAAATCATAGAAATACCCAGTCTTCAAGTGAATCGTATATGTGTTGGTGTACAAAGATGGCTGCATAAAATAATAAATAAATAAAGTAGAGAAGGAAAAATCAAAACATAAATTGTAAAACGAACAAAATGATAATAAAAAAATATATATGTATGTATTTAAATATACAATTTAAAAATATATAAAGTAATATAAATTAACTTTCAAAATAATTACAAAAATGTTTAATATTTTTTTGCATTTCAATTTCGATAATTAATTCATTTACTTTACTTACAACCTTGACATATTATTTGTTCGTTTTATGCAATTTTAGCACATATTTTTAAATGAAACTAAATAGGATATGTATAAATATTTATTATTAAACACCGCCACCATTACCACTTTAAACTACCATTACGTGTTGCCACCAAATGGAACGGGAGTTTTAGCATAACCAATCCCGTTTTTATCTTAATTACTTAATATTTTCCTCTTCTATTTTATTATTTTTTTTTCTTGTTACCATAAAACTTCACTGCAAAATCGATTTTTACACTTTATTTTGCACCATTTATTTACTTACAGTTTATTATTCATGTTTGATGGCATTCTTACAATTCGTAATGGTTGCAAACTAAAACACTTGGAAGAAAAATAAAATAAAATCAAAAGCGTTGATGTAACTGTTTTTAACTTTTTTTGTTAACACTGAATTTGTCTTCCGTCAAAAACAAAAACTGTTCACTTATTTCTCCACTATGAACCTTTAGCTTTGAAGTCAATTAGAAAACTGGTCCTTTATTATTTTTACACTCTATATATGTATGTATAAGTGATGTGTACAAAAATGTTTAAAGTGCACTTGTGAACTTCTGTAGCACTGCCAGCATTAAAATAATCAAAGAAAACATTCAAATTATATGTCAACTACAAAAAACAGCTGTTGTAACATCAACTTCTCACTCTCATGTAATTGGGATGTAAGAAAAAGTAAAAACGTAACACATTTTATAGCGCTATTTATAATATTATAATTATCACGAAATCCATATGCCTATTAATAATTTCTTTATTGTTCATATGTTTATTGTTTATATATATAATTAGTTTTTTCTCATTGATGTTACTACAATTTATATATAATTTAAAAACTCAACAAACACAAACACTAATTGATCATATGGATTCTATATTTGAATTAAAGCATTATAAATACTTTTTAATATCTGCATTAAAATATGAAAAAATAATTTTGAACATTTTATTTGAACGAGTGTAAACGTTTAGAATATATCAGTACATCGTATGAGTAGTGATCAATAATATTTATATATATATACATGCGTGAATATACCTCAAAATACTTTGAAAGAATAAGCGAACAAGCTAATGGCTATAGGTTTGCTAGACGAGAGTGATGAGGTCAAAAGGTTTAAAAAGTTATATGCATTAGACTTCTCATTTAGAAATTAAATTATTATTAAGTAATTGTACAATATCTATAAGTTAAAAGTATATTTATCAGGACATGATGAAATTTGTAGTACTTGTAGTAAAACTCAAGTAAAAAAACAAGTTAACTGCAAACTGAGAGCGTAACACAAATAAAGTGCCAAATTACGCTGTTTACATAGATTTTCATGGAACAGTTTGTGTAAAATCTGGTGAGAACATCAATGCTGCTCAAATAAACAATATAAAAATTTAAATTCAAACCAAAACAGCTGATATAAACATCACACAATTTTCACTTCAAATAAAATGTACGAGTAAAGTCTATGTAGTATTTTCAAATTTCGACAGGAATGTTACGTTCTCTCAGATGCTCTTATTTATTCGAAAGTTTGGAACACACTTCTGCATACACAGTGTTACTCAAAGTTACTACAAGTAGCTCGTGGAACAGACTTAGTATTTTAATACTTTTTAGTTGTGCTTAAATTTTAAAGGTCATATTTCAATATTTAATATTACATATTTGTCTCAAAATAGCACCAATTTTGACATTGTGGGTAACATCAAATTAAACAATGAGAACAGTCACAGAAAACTTTGTTATCGTCACCAAATTTTAATAGAAATTTTACAATTTCTTTCTTGATTTTTATATTTACGTTGATAACAACAACAATTTCACATGAAACGTAACCATGACTGTTAATGACAATTAGAAGGAACATGTGATCTAATTATAATTTTTAACATTAGTTGACTTGAATTAAAAAAAGTACGAGATTTTTTTATTTAAATAATAATTTATTTAATTTATTATTATTATATGTTATTATAATCATTTACGTCCCTTAATCATTGTTCTATGTATAGTGTGTATGATAAGTTTTAAGTGTCTTAGCCATTGTTCTATGCTAAGTGGAAATGTCAAACATTGGTTTTACTTTTAAATTTTTTAGCTTCGATGTTGGCTGCACTGCGTTATTAAGATTTAATTTTGAGCGCGTATGTTTGCCAGAAAGTATTATTTCATTTTCAAATTAAATCCAGTGCCACATGCAAGTTAAAGTATTGTTTTGTAAGATAATAAAAATAAATGGAAAAAATTGAGGCTGCATTAAAAGGAACTCGCCAAGAGGCTGAGAGTATAGTGCCAGAAATTGCAAAAACCGTTGAAAGATATGGAAAATATGGTGGCAGTGAAGGACGCCAAAACCAATTGATATATTGTTATAAAGTTTTACGAAAAATCTGTGTGGTTATAGCAAATTACAAGGCGACGCACTATGATATTTACTGTGATATTTTAAAACGGGCTTTTGAACCTCATATAGATCCAACAGCGAGTGGTCAATATTGGTCTAAATATTTGGAATATTGGCGATATTTTCATTATTTGATAATGGAAAAGGTTTTTATTATTTTAAAATATTTAATGTATATGTATGTAAATTATTTGGTTGTTTTACTTTAGGATTTATATACGCAGGCATCAAGAATATGTGCACATTTTGCTTCACAGTCAAATGTATTGATAAACGAGGATGATTATCAATTCATAATGAGTACATATTTTCAACATTTACTTGTACAACACAAGCACAGTTCTTACGATATTAAATCAGCTGAAAGAGGCTCCTTGTATATTTTAAATCGTTTAATAGATCTTTTTACAGCTATGCTTAAATGCAATACTGATTTGAATTTTTGCTATCCAAAACTTTTGTCACATTTCATACAATATGGGCTACCCAAACGTGCGTTTAACTTGTACGACTATACCGAATCTTTGTCAAATACAGCTACAAAAATGTTTGACACTTTTTTTACGCTTTTGGCACAGTTGAAGACTCCGCTGACTTCAAAGGCAGATGCAGAGTTAGAAGCTCAATTTCACATTAAAGCCTTTCTCGATTTTTTGGAGTTTGATGTAAACAGCAGTCGACATCATTCTTTAGTCATGAAGCATTTACGAGCGTGTCGTGATATAACTAACTTGCAAAGCAATAAATCTATGGGATATCTGTTCTGTTTACTCTATTATTATGTAAAATTTGTTTATACGACAGAATACACTGCAAGCTCAGCATTTTCTTACACTGAACTTTGTCACAAATTCAGTAGTTTCCTTGATAAATTTGGTGTCACTTTAATTGAATCTGCATGGTCAAAGGACATTCTCGCAGCATTTATTATGTTTTTAGAAAAAGTGCACGTTTATGATACTCCGACGCAAGTGCTTCCTAGCATTTGGCTAAAGATAAATACGGTTGAAGCATACGTTGCTCATTTTCAATTAATATCCAGTCTTATTAAAGTCGCTGGAGGTGTAACTGAAAGTAGTTTAAAAAAACTAAGTTGTTGCAGTAGTGTTAGAAAGCATCTAATATTATCTCTATCCCAGTTTGCACTTGTGGCGTATAATTACTTTATTATCGACATCAGGGTAAATATAAATTTCAATGACGTTCTTATATTTTTTTTATAAAACCTTTTTATGCAGGAATTTGCTACAGAGTTAGATGTTGTAGATAATAGCTTACTGAAAATAATACGCCATTCAATTGATGTGTTAAATAGCATGTCATGTTCTAACAAACCTTATCACTTTCGCTACATGTACGCACAATTTTCAAGTATAACACGAAATATAACAACTACAGCAAATGCCAAAATGTGTGTTACTCTATGTGAGATGCTAGTAAAAGTCAAAAACAATTTTGAAGCAACGGATTGGTCATTATTGCTAAGACGTATTTACAAGACAGTATTGGTTTCCGATGATAAAAAGCTGATGAAGCAATTGCATTGTTATTACATAGCATCTATGCTGCATGTGACATCACAACCTGATTTAGCAGCAATGCGTAATCAAATAGCAATATTTCATTCATCAGCATTTGACCAAGACTCTGATATGTGTTTGTTGGAACTGTATGAAAAGTCAGTAGGTGCACTGAAACCTACCCTCGAGCCACATCAGAAAAGGTTATTGCACTGGTTAGAGTTGCAGCATATAAATGAGTATAAAAAAGGAAATCTTGTGCTACGAAAGTCATTAATAAGTTATAGTCAAACGGAATTTGACACCGTAATGTCAGTACGTGGAGGTAAACTGCAATCAGACACTACTGTTAATATAAATTCTATCTATGAAAGACTGAAATCCAAAGTTAAAACAAATAAAAGTTTAAATCGTTTGGAGCATCTTATGTTTGCGCATGTGAGTGCATATTTTTTGCGCGTAAAGACTGAAAAAAGACCATCAACGGATGCAACTAAACACTGCATTGAAGAGAATTTGGAAGATTTAATGCAACACAAAGAGTTGCTAAGTATTACTGTATCTACAGAGTGGTTACTACTGGATGAAGCGGCAGATAGTCTACAGTCATTTGAAGCTTTCTTTTATAAGGTATATTAGTTGAATTATATTAAATATTTATTCAGTACAATTGCATTCTATATACCAATTTAGATCGATACAGACTTTTTGTGTAATGATGGAGCGTTCCTTGATTGGAAACTTATACTTGATGATATTGCAACAATTGCTCTTACATTCAACCTATCAGGCTATTCAAAATATGCCATAGAAGCTTGGCTTTTACATTATAAAATTGCTGACACAATTGACGATCATTTTAATTGTCTGCGTAGTTTAACTCAGCTGTGTGCATCATCAGAACAAATGGAAAATAGCGGAAAGGGAAAATCGTTCGATTTACAGAAGCACATCGATAGAAAGTTGCCTTTTATATTGCAATCAATACAAAACATATTACCACTACTAAAGCGTCACCAAAATTATTTACTCAATTGTTTGACACAACTTTCGTATTATTACGCGCGCAAAGGTAATCTCTGTTATACTCAAATAATGATGAATTTAATTGAGAGTACGCACGCTGAATTACCAGACCGCGCAGATAAATATGATATAATAAAGTTCACACTGCATGTTGTAAAATTTAAGATACTGTGGAAAAACTTGGGTAATGAATTATGTAAAACGGAAACCGATTTGGAGTTGAAACAGTCCTGTTTACTACGCCATGTTATGGCATTAGTAGACCAAGTTCGCAATGTTGTCTTCATTTGTTCTGATGATTACACCACCTTTCTAATACTAATGTTTGACTTTATTCAACAAATAGCTGAATGCGCTTGCAATCGCTTAACTGATAATATATTGAGTGGATTTTTTATATCTATACTGAAAATAGGCATTCAAATGGGTTTGGCTTTACGAATTGTTCAAATATTTAGTTCATGGATGATGACCAATTTACAAATGGAACAAATTACAAAAGCACAAGTAAGTAAAAATTGATGTTTAAAGTTATAAGTTATAGTTCAATATAATTATAATCTTACAATTTTCGCAATATATACATAGTTTTTTCTTCTAACAATTTTTATTCTTATTTCAGACAAAGTTAAAGTTATTGGAATGCATATTAGGTTTGGGAAACTGCTCGGTATTAAAGCAAATGAAAAAAGAATTGCAATCTGTTGAACCAAAAACAGAAAATGCTTTAGATGAAGTCAATTTGTGCATGGAACCCATAAGAAAAATGGTAGTTACGCAATTATCTCCAATTCATGGGGTATGTATAAATTTAATTTATTTAAAACGTTACCAAAATTAATATTTAAAGAAGAAGTGTATGAGTTAGCATTAAATATAAGCTTAACGATTTGAGTTAATTCAGATAATTTAAGCATATATTGTAGTTGTGGAGATTTATATAGCAGGTTACATGAATAAATTACAAGTACGTATACATTGCTTTGAATATGGTTAGGTAAAGGAAGTGTGAAAGCGGCAGGGGATTGTTTGAGAAACTAGAGTAGATTGGGAATGGATGCCATTTATCTACTCTTTAAAAATAATCTGGATCAAGGCGGAGAATCTAGCAACTTCAAGAGAAAGAGCCAAAGATCAAATAAACTTAGGTTGGTGTGTGCATTGGGACATGAAAATAGATATGGTCCCAAAATGGGTATAGTCTGTAAAAAGATATAGTCCCAAAAGGTATATAGACCCAAAAGAGATATAGCCACAAAAGGGATATAGTCACAAAAGAGATATAGCCAAGAAAGGGGTAGTGTCACAAAAGGGATATAGCCAGAAAAGGAATATAGTCACAAAAAGGATATAGTCTCTTTTGGGACTGGTATAATTTTCTATATAAAAATTTTAATCCTATATTGTGGTTTGTGTTAATTATTGATTCAGTTATATTTATCGGATAATAAATCTTGTTTATTTTTACTTTATATTTAACTTTTAACTTTATATTCTCACAAGAGGAATACAGTCTTTTAGGGGATTATATATGTCTATATAATGCTCGTATTCAATAATTTATTATTAAAATAGTATTATTAATGCTAGTAATTTGTTAATACGGGCTTCGTCTGGTAAAAATCAAAAATAAGTTTTTTTAATCCTATATAGCAATTTATATTATCTATTGATTTAGTTATAATTATAGGATAATAAATCTTCTACAACTTGTTCTACAACAGTTGAAAATGTTTTTCTTTAAGTTAATTTTTATATTATTTATATTAATAAAACTATTTTTCTTCTCCAGAAAAATCTTAATCTTAGCGCTTTGATTGTAAAACAAGATTTGAATCGGTTCTTAAATTGCTCGAATAAATTATTGAAGAAGCATGAAGTACTGGAATGGTCATATTTTATTGTTGGTTGTCTGAATGCACGTTTATTGTTTCTCGCTTTTAAACACGATGCTTTGGAGGTGTTTTATGAAAACTGTTACAAATGGTTACAGGAGAAAAAAGAAAGACTTCCACCTGAAAACTATCCACATGTAGAATTGTTTTTTACGCAGCATTATGTCAATTATCTGCGGGCAATAAAAAAATATGAAAAAGCTCTAACATATCTTAAAAATGTCATTACAAAAACAAATAATATGAATCGGAATTTAGATGTTGCTTATCGTATTAATTTCTTATTACAAATTCAAGCAATCGAACGGGAATTGGAACAAAAATCGAAAGATGCAGCAGATCCATCCAAACCAACCAAATTACGTAGAATGCTGGAATACAATAACTCACCAGTTATGTTAGACAAGAGTAGAAGTCCAGTGTTTGATGAGAACCAAAAACAAAATGTGAAACCTAAGTCAATCAATATGAATAAAGCTTATTTAATAGTAGATGAGAAGAACAAAAGAAAACCAGTACCAAGAAATGCAATACCAAAAACAAGTACCAAAACATCGATTGCCGATGATTCAAGCCTAAGCACCAAAAAATCAAGTGTTGAGCCATGCGCTACCAATATTATAGTGTTGAATGATAGCACTGCTGAAACAGAACTGAAAACAAAGAAAGTAACTCCGAAACGCATCGAGATTGATGTGAAAGATGTATTAAGTGGTAATTTTGTATTTGATAAATATTCCACATATGTACTCAAAAAGCCAACAGTAGCTGAACCTGACAGAAATGGAGAAAGTTCAGCTCAAAAAAAGAAAAGCTCACCTTTGGAAAAGTCATTATTGATGGAATTTGCTGGTTTAGCGATTTCAGACGAGAATGGCAGTCAAGCATCCAAAGTAGATGTCAATAAGGAAAATGGTACAAAACAGAAAATTAAGAATACAGCTCCACTGCGAGAAGTTGTAATTGAAGTTAGTGATGTATTGAGTGGTAATGTTGTATATGATGAATTTACCACATACATTCTAAAAAGACCATCAAGTCACACAATTTTATCTACTTCTGAAAAAAAGGCATCGACTTCAATTCAAAAACAGAAAGAACAGTCTTCACAAAAGTCACTAGGGACTGTGGATTTAGTATCTTCAGATGAAAATCTTAGTCAAACCTCCAAAGCAATAGAGAATAATAAGAAAGTGATAACTGCTACACCGAGTACATCTAATACAAAATCTGCGAAGCCCTCCACATCGACTGCAACAAAGCGCGGTACTCGACAACGCTTAGGCAGAGGTACCAATTTAGATAATATTGAAAACGTCGATCCATCTGTATTCAAAGTAGAGAACGCTCCGAAAGCACCGGACTCTGCGCGTACAACAAGACGTCGTCGGAATTTATAAATAGGCAATCATGAAAACTATACAAAAATTTTTTAATATTGAATATTTTTTATTTTAATTTTAAAGATATTTTGTTCAGAAAATTAATACAATTGTTTTTGGTTTTATGTAATTTCAAATTTAAATTTTGTTTTATTTTTTAATAAATTTTTATTACCAATGTATAAATAAATATTTACGAAATTTTTTAAATTATCATATTAAAATCTCTGTCAGGTCAAGTCGGTCAAATGTGTGAAATAAGTTTATAATTATTTACTAAAGTAAGAACCTTATAGATATTTTTATGTTTCAGTGAAATACACTTAAAAATACACAATACACAATGAAGTTGTCGATTTTATTCTAAAAATTGTAAATATTGCATATACATTGAATTATTAACTTAAATTTAAATCACAAAAACAAACTCTTTCACTGCATTCACGCACGCAGTTGGTGGTAAACTTATGAATACGTCATGGCTGTTATGCTATGACTACTCTTGCGTTTATATTTTCCAAAATCAAAGATTTAAGTATAGTAGTAACAAAAAGTAACAAGTTACAAGTTACTTTATCCGCCCGGTTATCATGTTTACTCAATGCAAGACAGGATAAGAGATGCGTGACGTCTAGAACTCTAGTTGGGGCAAACTCTGGACAAGTAACTGTTTGCCAAGTGTTTATAATTGGGTTAGAACAGTTCTTGCTGCACTAGGAAGGCGTTTTCTTTTCCCAGGTATATCAGGAGATCTGTTGAGAACTTTGTTTTTAAGCATCCATAAAAATGATATTGCTTCAGCTGTTAGTCCTTGCTTTTATTCGACTTCACTGCTACGAAAATATTGATCGATGAATCACAGCGTGGAATGAAGAGATATGTTCTTCATTTTGGGATGTCTATTGGAATGTTCTTTGTGTGATACGCAAGGGGATTTTGCTTAAACCTTAATTCGGTATGCTCTTTTATAAGAAGTATTTTAGAGTTTGCATAAAGATGGTTACAATGTAACATGCGATTTTTGTCGGTAGCCGGTTGTAGCACAGGAATGAAATGCACTATCTTAAAGGTTGCGGCCCCAAACGTCTAATTCATGATCAGGTCAATTAGAAAAGAAACCATAAAGATTTTAAATTTCAATAATGGGATTTGATACAAGAGGTGGATAACAGTTTTGTCTTCATTCGCTGAGCCATAACCTCAATAAAAGTCATTAGAGGGTAGACCATGACTTAATGTATGCGCTTAAGTAACCCAAGAGGCGTGATGTTACTTACTAGCAAATATTTTTTGGCAATGTTTCATAGTGTATTATCCATATTTTCAAAAAGGGTGTATATATTCCAAATGATAAGCTAATAATTGTATACCTTTTTAATACGCTGTGACCTGACAGCACTGTTTTTGTAGTATGGAGTTGATACCGCTTTAGTTTAGCAAATGACTGGTATATGAATTTTATACAGTTTTGTTAGGTTAGTCTTGTGATCTTCCTAGGCTTTCCTTAACAACCTCAACTAACTGAAATATAAATATATATATACAGATTATTAACTTCGGGAGATATAAGGAATATTATGAACTATATATAGTTTTTTTCAAAAAGATTTGTACATATAACTGTAATAATATATTAGAAATCTGAAAATAAGTCAATTTATTAAATAAAATAAAATTAAATTTATTATTAACAGTGACCGATAAAGAATGTTTGTAAATTCCTTTTGTTCTACGAATCAATTTTGATAGAACTATAAATAAATAAATTAAGTTATTTGACAGAACAAAAGTCTTGTTTGAATATGTTGATACTATTGCCCAAAGTTGAGATTTAAATGTACCTTACACCATTTTTTTCTAGAGACATCATTTTGAACGCCTCATCCCTATATAAATACTTCGTTTACAAGAGAACGAGTGAGTGTGCAAGGTATAAGATATTGTTTTATTGTTGTGAGAAAAAAAAATAAAATAAAAATGGGTTACCTTCTAAATTTTGTGTGACTTCAGCGACGGTATCGCTAAATACACTAAACAGACACATTAGATGGATGTCGTGCTATTCTGCCATAAAATCCTAGGCATACATACATAATAATACATGCAGATAATTTATTTTCCCCAGTTTATGCACTTTATAACATAATAATATGTGTAAATATGCAAGCTCTGCTATTATCATCGCAATACCACATTTCCTATTAGGCATGACAGAATTTAAATGTCAATTGGAAATAGGAATTGGAGAAAAGCAGGCCTTGTTTGCTACATTTTTGGATATGTTAATTTAAAAATTAAATATTTTATTTGTTACAAAAAGTTGTAAATTTTGGTCTTAACAATTGGAGAATCAAAATTCCGACATGAGTGTAGGCTGCTACGTACAATGCAAACCTGTGAATCATGAAAAAGGAGAAAGTACTGGATGGCGTGGTACTTTTTTCTATCCCGGTGGTGGTACCTATAAGGGATACTGGACCAAAAGTAAGCAAGACCATTATGGTGTAAAGATCACAAAAAAGGGTATGGCTTATGATGGACAATGGCTTGATGGTAAGCGCCATGGGTTTGGAACGATGCGTAAAAGTAAACCGGATGGTACTTATGAAAAGTACTACGTTGGAGATTGGAAATGTGACAAGAAAAGCGGTGAGGGTAAGCAATTCTTTCCAGATGGCGTTTATTATGGTTGGTGGAGAAATAATAGGCGTGACGGTCTCGGCATCATGTGGTTTGAGGATGGTACTTGTTATCTAGGAGAATGGAGATCTGATTATTATCATGGAGTTGGTGTATTCTTTTATTGTAAGTTGATTTAAAAAAAATGTTTAATTTTAAATGCAATTAAGATATATTTAAATACTTTGTTTTAGTAAATGGCAACCGTTATGAAGGACATTACGCGCAAGGTCTCAAAAATGGCGAAGGTACATTTTATCATAATCATACAGGACAAATACAAAAAGGAATGTGGGAGAATGATATATGCAAAACATCAATGATAATTGATGAATTTCGTAATCAAGTTGATCATCCCTCCGAATATCCAATACCGCCGGTATATAATATGTATATTGTTCAATGTTTTGTAATTTATAAAAATGTTGGTTATTTTTAGTTGCGCCTTGTTGATCCCAATAAGTTAATAAGAAACTTTTTCCGTCCATATATGGTTAATGCAGACAAACCACCAAAATCTTTACAGGTACAGATATAAAATTGAAATCGGTTTTGTATATAATAAGTTTAATAATATTTCAAATTTCTTAGGAACTATTATGTATTAAATTTGTACAAAAGTTCAAGCGACTTAATATGATCGATCCCAAAGGTAAATGGTATACAAAAATTCAATTCGATGACCCAAAATATATATGCACTTGTAAAGAATTGGAGAAACCTATTGTGCTGCGTCAAAGAATACCTAAATTGTAATCTATTACTGATATATTTCAATTAAAGTAATTGCAAATTGGATATATATATATATTTGTTAATTGCTTTACTATTCTGTATAATAAAAAAATACTGATTTAGATCTCTAACTATAATGGATTTATTTTATAGATGAACTTTTATTCTAATAAGTTATTGTAATTATTGCATTGATATTTTTTTAATCGATCTCCAATTGTCTAGTTTATTTATTCTTGAGTAAGAATCTCTAGATATTGTTGTCAATGCGATTGGTTTCTTTACAGGCTATTATATATAAGCTATTGTTATATTTAAATATTTGAATAATTTCTCCATTGAAAATTAGTTGTTTAAGCGTTGTGCCTACGATATTCTTTTTATTAATCAATTTTTTTAAAGAATAATTATTCTATATGCATTTACAAATAAAATATATAAGTTCAGAATTTTATAAATGGTATGGGTATATTTTATTTATTTTTTAATAAAAATTATTTGTATATATAATATAATTCTACTTATTTTGATTACATATATTCATATCATAAATTCTTATGCAATTTTATTAATATTTTTATTATACTAAACACAGTATACATAGTTAATTAAATAATTATATAAATAAAAAATACTAAAAGAAAAAAATTTTATTTTATTATAATTTATTGAAAATTGAAAGAATAAAAAATTAAGTTTAAATTTTTTTTTATCTTACAAGATAAAAATGCGAATCTCTTTCAGTATTGTTATATCATATATATGCTATTGCTTTTAAGTATAATAGTAAAGTATGATTATTAAATAAAATATGTAAATAAAAAAAATAAAAATAAAAGTGATGTTAAAATCAGAATATTTAATTTAAAAAAATTTTTCATTTTTAAAAATTTAGCATATAAGACAATTATTCAAAATTAAATATAAAAAAAAAATTTAATAGTTATGTATAAAATAATGGTTATTGATTAAATAAAAATAATTATTTAAAAAATTAATAATACAAAGTGATAATAAAACTAGGAATATATGAAAATTAATTTTCAAAATTTTAGTGTTGTAAAATTATTTTATATATTAATTTAAAGTATGCTATAATATTAAAAAATAACTTATGTTACTGCTTTAAAGAATATTTTCCAGTAAAAAATTATTTTTTTTGTATTTTAGTTATAAATTAATTTTTAAAATATTTTTTTTATAATGTATGACAGTTTATAAAAAAATATTTTGTTTTTAAAAAAAATATATATTTTTATAAATAAATAACTAAAACCTTTGAGATTTGTGGAAGTGTTTTAATTTTCTTAATGTGTGTAAAGTATAATTATTGTAATAATTATTAATTCCGATATATAATGTGGGCAATAAACTTCTTATATAAAATTTTACAAAAATATTTTTACAAATACTTATATTTAAGAGTAACACATTATCAGTTAGTAATAAAAATTCAATAATTATTGTTTCTAAAAAATTTACCAACTAAATAAAATTAGAATTTCGTTTGCATATTGCAAAGTTAAAAATACGGTGTACAATATCACAATTGCATATTTAATATAATAAACTAATAAACTAATCGAATGAATTTATCATATAAAATATTACACATTTACGTCTTTTGTATTTTAATTCGTATCAATAATAATTAAACATATTTACGATTTACGATCTATGATCTACCATAACTTAAAAATTAATCCTAATTATGAATTAAATATTGTTCACACATGTGTGGCTTACTAAAGTTCATAACTTAATCGCTAACAACAAATTATATGCAAAAATACTCGTTTTTCAAGACAGGCTTTAAAGTTGTATGGACTTTATTGGAAGTTAGACAATTTCGCCACTTGCAGCGTAATTTAATCCATTATTTCGATGTTGATGATGCTCCATATGATCTTGCTCCATTTGCTCCTTCAGTATCTCTAATTCTCTTATGCCGGACACAGTTACTTCATACTTGTGTGTCACAAGCGAGCGGTAAAAATGTATAGCAAATGCAAGGAAGATTACTAGTACCGGAATGAGCACAATACACGCTGACCAAGCAGCCGGTTGGCTTAAATCGTAAAATTTCACCCAGCACAGAATAGCAATCTCTATTAGAAATAATATTAGGCCCAGTAGAGTTGAAAATGCCCAGGCCGTCTCAATGTACCAATGTAACCTCTCATGCGGTGATTCGTGCACTAACGAAATGCTGTGCAGATTGCAGACGGTTTCAATGTTTGGAAGTATGCATGTGCTTATCATAAGTGCCAACATATGCACTGCCACGAGCAGCGTAGTACAAATCGCGAAGGCTACTAGCATACCAGCAGGAACGTCAGTGTCATTATTTAATTGAACCTCAACCATTGCCACCTAAAAAAGAAGAGAAATAAATAAAATTAAAAAATAAATAGTAGTATTAGTAGAAATTAATTTTAGTATTTAGTACCAAATGTAAGAGAAAGACTTTGTTTATTTGGAACCCAGCGTACACACTAAAAAGAACGTTAGCCTAGATATTCAACAAAGTATCAATCTTGCCAACAGATGCTACTTCGGGCTAAGTAGGTAATTGAAAGAAAAGCCCTCTTTCGACAAAAAAAAAAATTACGGTCTACAAGTCTATTATAATATTTGCCCTATTTTATAATGCAGAAGCTTGGACAATTACCAACAGTGATGAGAAGGCGTTAAGAGCAATCGGAAGAGAATTCTTCGGTAGATTTGTGGTCCCGTACGTGTTGGGAACGAGTATCAAATTAGATGGAACGATTAGCTATAACCCGATACTGACACAGTTAAACGCATAAAAATTCAGCGGCTTTGCTGACTTAGTGATATCATGCGAATGGAAGAAAATGCTGTAGTTAGATAAGTGTTTGATTCGGTACCCGCAGGTAGAATACTTCCATCGCATCTTCTAAGCAAAAGTTCCAAGCAAAAAGAAATTTTCAAAAAAGTATGCGATTAGTATCGCATAAAAAAACGTTCAAATCCATTGGCAATGGATC